TATATATATCAAAGTTCTCCTCACCTCTCAGTCTTTCCCCTTTCCCGTCATCTTTTCCACATATCAGGCTCTGCCCTCTCCTGCTTCTCTCAGTCTTCTCCTCCTCTTCTACTTAGCAGCTTCAGAAGATCTATAAGAATCTGTCAGATCTATCCTCTCTCTGGATCCCTGTCTACTCTACTACTGTCTACTCTCCTGCCTTTTAACACGTCCAGCTGTTTTGTCTTTGAAAAAGTGCTGCAGGAATAAGAGTTTGGATGATGAATGGCATTTTCAGCATCCAGCAATAAAATTGGCACTATGCTGCTTGGTTAGCTATAAATGTTTTTTTTTTTTTCTGCTGTTAATGCCCTGTTGTCTGTCGGCTTTCTCTGAGTTATTAAGGCTTCATGCTGACCGGGGAGTTGACAGGTAAATGTGCTTAAACGTGTCCAGTGAAATCCTTAAGAGCTCTCTCTTGTTCTGCTTATTTCCTTTGCTGCACTTGAACATTCTTCAGCCAAAATGAGAGATATTCATTGTTAATCACTTAAGTCTTGCTTTCAAGAACTTATGCATAAACCACGTTATCAGAGATGGCAGCTACGGGAATGAGCTTTAATACATCAAGTAATTATTCCCTTTTCGTAAATACACCTAATTAAAAGATGAACACAGTGAATCATGATTATGAAGTGTTTCTTATGGGATTATTTATAATTGAAAAATATTATCCTGATAACATGGATGCGTTTGAAGGACAATGTATAATTTCATATCCTTGGTTTTAATCTTAAAAGCCCCAAAGAAATAACGTTGCTTTATATAAATCCGCTCCTAATGCTCTGTATATTAGGAAAATTAATTAGATTTAGAGTTTTGTTATTGATAGGGAATTACCTCTTAATCCTCTTAAAATGGAAAGCTTTATTAACTCAGTGATGAATCCGAAAGATGCGAATCTAAGGTTATTTTTCTTAAGGATGTTTTTTTCGTAAAGGTTATAGAACACACGGATGTTTTCGTCAAGAGTAAGAAAGAAGTTTAACGTGGAAAAACTTTGTGTTTGTGTGATTAAGATAAGCTGGAGGTGAGATACAAGCTGGACAGCAGCAGAGACACGGAAGTGCTGAGGAGCAAAGTGAGGAACCTCGCCAACGGACAGCTGCACACCGTCTCCATCAGGAGGCTGACAGACTCTGTGTCTGTGCAGGTGAGGAAAAGAACACAAATACTGTATAACTACATTTATGGTTTTACTTAGGTTGTGTGCAATATACACTATACTATACATGCATACAGTATACGACAAGGTGATATGTGCTTCCTTAAATCTTCAAGAGACTACAAAAGCAGGGACTGCACGAGTGAGTAGAAAATAGGGAGGAGCATCTCACCTTACACACAAAATAACAACACTGTTCAATTTTAACAGCTTTGAAGTGACAGAAGAGTGTAATTTCTGCCGTTTCAACTGACTTCCTCTTTAAAATAAAAGGTTACAATGGTTTTTTCACCACCAGATGGGGACAAAAAGCACTATGCTCTGATCAATCAAATTATTTTAAAGAATGATTGAATGTTTTGCAGTTCCTGCGTGAGCATTTATTCCCAGATATGCCACTGTGCTCTCACTGTTTTAAAACAAACTCCATTAGCCCAGTGTGAATAGATCCTATTACAACTTACCCGTCAGTATCGGGCAACCCTGACTTATTTTTGCTTTTATTAACCTGAGTCTATTAACTCCGACACTTATACACTAAAGAGCATTGGATGTTGTTTCGTTTATGGTCCATAGACTTCCACAGAAAAGTTAATGTGCTCCCTTTTCCAGCCCCTGTAATTAAGTCGTTTCCGTTCAGTTTCAAGATAAAGACCCCAAAATAAAAAAAATATAAATACGTAAATGTCATCTTATGTATTTAATATTTTCTATCTGTATGTTATTGTTCAAACATGCCACGCACACAGATTCTATTTGTCACAGATACGATAACGTCACAGCTGTGCATAGGCTCCTTCTTTACTTGCTTCACCATCAGTCATAACATGGAAAATAATCCTGAAACCACTGACATAAAATGTATAGCACAGGTGTTTCCCACAAACATGTGGCAGATTTGGCAGTTTAAAAATGATTTGTCTGAAACGAGTTGCCATTTGTTAAAAAGTTTTTTACTTTTTAACCGAAATTATTTTCCATTTGATCCAGTCGCATCATGTCGCTTCAGGAAGGCTCAATAGTCCCTGTGTTAATTTAGTTCGAGGAAGCTCCAGTTATTACTGCAGAGCTATGGAAGGATAGCAGGGATAAACTACACATTAAAACAGCTCTGGGTGAAATATGGATCAACTTCAAAATATCTAAATCTCATGAACAGCGTTAACATCTTGTTAACAACAGCCTCAGATGATATATGAGGTAAACTTAATCTCACTGGGAGCCAGCAGCCTGGACGTCTCTATAATTATCAACACCCTGAAATGAAATATAAGGTGACCTCGTCTTGATGCAGTTTGTCAAGACTCCAGTGAAATATGAGTTGCATCTCATCTTACCGGTTTCCATCACCTTGAGTCATTATATTGTTACAACATGCTTCGGGAACATCAGGTGACCTTCATCGATTGTCACCCAGCTGCATCTTGATGGCCAGCAGCATAGACTCTCTAAAGTGGTCTCACAATTGGACACCGTCATATCCTCTCCCCCTGAGCGAATGAAAAATGAAAAACGAAATCACCCTGGGCTGCTAATACATCATGCCCTCTCTTTCTGCACTCTTATCAGATGGCCCAGTGTTTCGTTTCCTTTAGGTTTACTGACACACTCCATTAGATCCTTAAAATAGTACGTCAACGTTTGTCAGAGACAGCAAGATAAAGTTCTGGACTTGGGTGCCGTGTGTAAACACAAGGGACCTAACTGCAAAAGGTACTTCCTGTTCAATAGAACCAATCTAGGTTATAATATGTGGAAACCTACTGTAATTTCAGTGATATCATATCAGCTTAAGGCTATAAAAATGTATCTAGAGCTTATTTCATATCAGTAGAACTGCAAACTGCAAACCCAATTGGGGGAGCTTTCTTAACCAGTAATTGTTTTATCAGCCTCTCCCTGCATAGGTATCCAAAGCAGGTAGTTAAAGTGGACAAACTCTCTGACTTCCTGCTTGTCTTTGAGTTTTCATTATTTAATTCTAAGCATGTTTAATAGCAACTTCAGCCATTTTTTTCACTTGCCTCCACAATTTAATGTAAGCAATTATTGCAAGCAATTTTCAGGTTGGGTTGGAGAGACGGTGTTTGAGTCAGTGTAAAGTTTATTTGTGTCTATTTTTCACTAAAATTTGACTACAGGGACGTAGTATGTTTCTTTATTCTATGTGAATGTCTATCTACTGAATTAAAAATGTGGTTTGAGGGAACTGCACATCTGTTGTATTTTAGACCTTGTAAATTATCCTCATATCAAGGTTAAATGCAGTTCTTATTTTTCTAGTTAATCTTTTAATGGCAATTTTGGATTCCTAGTACACTCACTTTCATTCACACCAACTTGTTTTTTTTATACAATGTGTGTAATGGATTGGCAAAAACTTCTATGTACACTTTAACATAAGTACCCAATTACAGTTTCACCTACAGCTCATCATATTTTCACACACCTTTAAAAAACACAAATCCCTTGGAGGGTTGCATTAGGAAGGGCATTGAGTGTAAAAGTAAATAAATAAATAATATCCTGCTGTGGTGACCTCTTACAGATACGAGAGCAGCAGAAAGAAGCAAGCAGAATGGTGTAAATGCATAAGATATGTGATTCATTGCAATAAATCACCCCTCTTCTTTAGCCTTGTATGTGCCCTAAGTTCAATATAAAAATGTGAAAGGTCAGAGCTAGTATTTTATTTGTTTTTGGTCTGTTCAGCGCTCTATTTTCAGTTGCTTATCCACATCTGCATCTGGGTCGTCTGCAGTTTAAGCAAAGATGCCCTGTCGTCCCATTCTCTGGGGGAACATCTGGGTAGGTGTCTTGGGTCTGTCCTTGAGCCTCCTCCCCTGGTCCACCTCAGCTGGCTCCTTTGTCGATGTGCAGGAGTAGCAGCTCTAATCTAAGCCCTTTCTCAATAACTGAGCTCTTTAGCTCATCTCTAAGGAAGAACCTTGTCACCCATGAGAAAAAGCTCATTTCCACCACTTGTATCCATGACCTCATTCTTTTGGTGACAACTTGTGGCCGTGGTCTGGGTAGCAACGTAGATCAACCGGTAAATCTTACAGATTTGCTTCACGTTCACCTCTCCTCACCATAATAACAGCCATCTGTTAATCCTCCCCTCTCCCCTCACTCATGAAGCTGTTCTGGGCCTGAACCAAAGATCATTATGAATGCTTTTTCCATTTCTCCTAATAGGTCTTGTAAATACACCATTCTGGAGCTTTACGATAAAGAAGTGTAGCTATGACCTCAAGTAAATGTTACTTCAAACAGTAGATGTCTTGTTGAAGTAATCAGCATTTATAATGACTTACAAAAGTTTTTCTTTTTTTTCCCCCTTTGATGGAAACTTCAGTTATGATTTTGACTAGGTTTTCTTCTTCACGGCCACATGGTGAGATACTCTCTGTGGAGCTGCTCTAATTAAAATAATCTCCAGTGGTGAATTTCATTCTGGATGACTGAATGTTTTTAACTGCAAGTTTGGACTCTGTTGCTCATTCCTCCCTTTGAGCTGTTGAGATAAAGGGAAAGCTGAACATTTAAAAAAAAAAAAAATCAAATTTAAAAAGGATGGAGCGCCAGATTCACGTCACCGCTGACTGAAAAGTAATGACTGGCACGAAAGTAAAACTCACTGCATCTAATAACTAGAATAGCTCACAGAACAATGTAATACTTTGCTCGTTTTTATGCCTAGGGCATTTTAAAATTTTAATTTGATCTTATTCCACTTCCAGCTGTTCATGTCCGAGTTGATGCACTTTCAACTTTCAGTTTTCATTTTTCTTAATTGTTCTAATATTTCAAAAACTTTCCTTTTGTTTTTTTTAATCATCAATTTGTATTCAGATCTTTTAATTTTCTGTGCTTTTATTTGTCTTAAATTATCCTGTATTGGATTCTACTTTAAAAATTAAAGGTTGAACAAAAGCCAATTTATTTATTTATTTTTTTCAGATTGACCAAAATGCCAGAGAAGACTTCAACCTGACATCTGACGGGGAATTTAATGCAATCAAGTCGCTGGTGTTGGGCAGAGTGCACGGTGAGTGAGGACACAGTAAAAGAAGAGAGACGGTCTTTTTAGTTAGGGAGCACTCAGACTCACATTTATTTGATAACAGCTCTGAGAAGTTTGGTGCCTGACTCTCAGCGTGAGCTTTCTTAGAAAAACTGAGTGTAATACATGGAACCAGAGCTGTTAGCTGGACAAAGGGATATTTTCATCTTAGTACTGAGTGCTCAGAAATGTTGAGTCAAGAAGTAAACAAAAGATATTTTAAGTAGTTTCTGGGTTTTGGGGATGCACTCTACAATCTTGGACCTTAGAAACAACTTTTTTCTGATATTCGGACGGAGTTGCAGATTACTGTAGAGCAGGGGTGTCAAACTCATTTTACACCACAGGCCACATATAGCCCACTTTGATCTTAAGCAGGCCAGTGAAGCTCCCCTTTCTTTTTTGTTTTTGTCTTTTTTTTTTGTCCTGTTTGGATCTTTAGCCATCAGAATTGTTGTCTTAAGGCCAAGAAAGATGCCAAGCGGATTTATTTTACCAAGTGGATCATCATGGCCTTGCCATATTGGTCCATTTGATTGACCTGTATTATAATTATGTATTTATTTTATTTTCGGTTGCAAACGGGACAGACATGACTGGGAGATAGGACAGGGAGAAAGAATGAAAGAAAGAAGGGAGAGAAAGAAAACCAGAGGGGAGAAGAGACGGTGAGAAGGGGGGGAAGAAAGAAAGAAAAACAAACAAAACACCTGAATCACCTGTATGGAGAAAAAAAACAGAAGAGAAAGCAAACAAAAAAAAAAAAGCAACATAATAAATACAGCACCATCACAATAAACTAGCTAGCAGTAGATAACAGTAGATACTAAATATTAAACGCTATTGTGCAGCACGCAAGCTAGACAGCGCACAATGTGCTTTGAGGCAGCAGCCAAGAAAGGTGTAGTCCGCGTCTGAAGTGTGCATGATAAAGAAAACGCTGCTGTGACAAAGAAAGAAACTTGTTAGCATGACTCTTTGGACTTAAATTGAAAAAGAAAAGTGCAAAATGGCAGAAAATGTTCTGCTAACTCATTGCCCGGATTGTCCAGGTTTTGTTTCTTTGTTTGTTTGCTGGGGGGGAATAAAATAATGTGATTAATACATAAATAAAAAAAATTCCTATACATGAGCTTTTAGCTGAGATTCTGATGTTTCTGTGGATCCCACACATGTCTATATTTAAATAACAGATCTGGCAGTACATCCCATTAAACCAGATGTTCTCCCTCTTGTCCCCCAATACCGTGAGCATTGGGTTTCAACAAGTTAATTGTTTATTGCTTAATTACTTTGTGTAGTATGAAAAAGGGAGTTTTTTTTATCACTGGGAAAAACTGAAAAAATTTGAAACTGAAAATACAGTTAAACGTCCAAAATTTCTTTTTTGTTGTGTTTCTAGAATTAGAATTATACAAGAATTATAAATGGCTTCAAGCACCCATTCAGGCCTGTGACACTCATTTAGACACTCAGATACTCAATATCATTGAAATGCAGCCAGATGCTTCTTATTTTAAGTTTCCGCTCATTTCTTCACTTTTCCCAACATGCTCGTGTTTAAATCCGACCTGTACACTGGCTGTCTTTGGAACGTCTGCCCCCCTTCCTTTCCCCCCATGCTATGGTTCCAGTCTATCTTTGCGTGTTAGTGGCTGCATGGTGTGCCCATCAAAATAAAGCCCCACCCCTGCCTGTGTGGATTCTCAGCCAGGTTGAGGATTCGGCTCCCACATACTGACGAGCCATTAATAATCGAAAAATATGAAATACGTTTGACACCCCACCTGTAGAACCCTTAAAGTTCATTTTTAACAGGAAAAAAGAAACTTATCTGCAAATATACTGCTGTATATACAAAAAAACAAGCTTGGCACAATACATTTCAAGTTTCAAAGTTGTATTATACACAGTACATGTTTCCCTGCAAGAGACGTTTGCCTGTGCAATGAAAATCTTTCTTTGCTGTTCACAACAGTAAAGGCAAGTTTACCGTGCCATCACCACGTACTCAACTCAGCTGCTCAACCCATAAATGCATTTTCCTTAAAACTGTGCTATCATCTAAGAGGAACAGTCTTTCCAGATGTATAGAGCAGAAACAAAGAAATAATTGCAAGTTTTTGCTTTTAGCTTCCTGTGATTAGGACTGAATTTAATCGAGCTGGATTGATCTGAACTGTATCATAAATGGAACCGGCACATTTCTGCCTTAATTTAAGATTTGAGTTCCTAGTGTTGATAAATCCATCCATCCATCCATCCATCCGTTTTCTGCTGTGTATCTGGGGCTATGTTGCCAGGGCATCAGCATTTTTTTTGCAAATTTCTTTACACAAACTCACATTTTCAAACAGATGCAACATCTTCCTCTGTGTGTCTTTATGTCTCTTACATATACGCATCACACAACACAAGCGATGCAGTGAGCATAAAAATGACCTACGTAAGTGTTCCCAGGCTGAGAGAAGTTATCCCTCTGGCATGTCCTCCTTCCTGTAGGACATAAGCGGAACACCTCACCCCCAAGAGGACTCCTAATCAAATGTCTGAACCACCACAGCTGGCCTCTTTCAATGTGGAGGAGTAGCAGCTCTACTCTGAGTCCCTCCCAAATGAGCCAGCTGTTTTTTCTAGATAAACTAAAAAAAGAAAAATAATAGTTATTATTATATACTATAATAATTATATCATCTCTATCTAGTGCAGATCTTGTGTACCTTTGGACTGCTCCAGCACTGCTCATCCCTGGAGGTCTCATTCTGACTACTTGAATGTGCTTCTTCCACATAAGTTTTAAACTTTTAAATGGGAATCAACTATTTCTGTAGTGTGTTGCTTTTTCCACTTCCACTCCAGTCATGGGCAGAGACTTGAAACAGTGTTGGTGTGATTACAGTTTTTACAATTTTTAAAAAGCCAGTAATTTTTTCCCCTCGGTGCCTCCATGAAAGATGGACTAAGATATGAACTGTGAATAAGAGTCTGGGAGACCACAGGCTGCAGTCACAGCTCTTTCATAAAAAGAACAACTAACAGTGGAACAAAAATAGAAAAATACACATTTTCCTTCCATGTATCAGAGATTTCCATAAGTACTCTTA